AAAAATAAAAAATAGTGTTATTATACAAAGTATGTATAAGAAAACGTATCGTTATAATTGAATTTGTTCTAATCATAAGACAGCCGGTTTTCACCCGTGCTCTTAAGCTTCGATTAGTTGAGCGATTTCTTGATGTCTGTTCAATTTTGTTATTTACATTATGAACAAATTTCATACTTCACTACAGTAAAAAATGCTTTTCGAAGAAAAATAATAATTGAGGATATCATGGCAATACAAACGTGTGTGTATACGACCATCAGAGACAATACATACTACGAATGTATCGCCCACATCATCCTACGATGCAAATTTAAACAGAATATTGTGAATTACTATAAACTATATTAATCATAAATTATCATTTATTTAGAATATAATGTATTAGCCAATTTGCAGTTTATATAAATTATTTTAATGTATTCTCGGTATTTCAAATTTTAAGTTAGGTAAAATATCTTTTCTTTTACAATATTTTAATTTAAAAAAATACATACATGTAACCTATATTATAATCTATCATACCATATAACTCATAATAACTTATAAAAAATAAATTCTCATCGATTAATGTGCTTTTAATTTAATTATTTAAGGTTGCAATTCTTTTGACTATTCTCTCGGTGGCTGCTGCTACTCCACTGTTCTTTGGTCATCCCAAACAGTAAGTAAAATGACATTATATTTCTTTCAATTATAAATTATTTTTAAAATACAAAAAATATCTATGGATTGCGTTATGTTTAATATGCACATGATAACAAAAACTATGATACATGGACGTTTAATGTCTATCAACTTGAAAATTTATCATACAATAAACTATACAATAAAAAAGTAATAAAAAAATTTAGATGCAATATGTATATTATGACAATAATATTTGTTTATAAAACTTAATGAATACTAATATTGCACCTGAGATTTCTGGTTTCTTATTACTATTAATATAGTAAATTAAATTAATTACTTAAGTTTTTTTTTTTTAATTCTATAGAAAAAAGCCATTTTAATACCAAACAAATTTCTTTAAATTTCGATTATTTTCCCATGAATTTAAAAATATATACACAGAGTTGTACCTAAAAATAGTGAATTACCATATTTGTGGAGATTCCATAAGAATATAACTACGTGCTCTTTGTACATACTACATACCAATATTTTTTTTATCATAAAATCGTGATGATTTTGTTTACAATAAACATATAATATTTTTATGGGCAAAAAAGCGAACGTAATATCATTGGTTGTGGTTTATCCTATTTTATAAATTCCCATGAAAATTCAAAGTGATATATAATTATGTAGGTGCACATAATCAATTTTTTATTTAAAATTCTGAGCGGAGCGAGGAATGTATTTATTTTACCACGATGAGTGTTTTTTCTTTTTTTTGTGTCTGTCCTCACATTTTGGGGCAGTAAAAGTGCTTCGATTTTTGACTTCAGTACCTTGTTCGATCAGAAAGTGAATCTAGTTGGTACTTTGGGGAGCCAAAAGTAAAAAATGCTTAATACTTTTCTAAATAATCGAGAAAAACAAACTAAAAATTAAGGGAAAAACGGGACATTTTACGCACAATCAGTTTTTGACAAAATCGATTTTGGTTTTTGATGTAACTTTAAAACAAATGACCATAGATACATGCAATTTTCACCGAATTTTTACATAAATATATTCTATCCACTATGCAATTTTAAAAACATTTCGACTTAAGTTGAACTATTCATAAGTATTTGCAATTTTTGATCATCACAATTTTTTTTTATAAGCTTTCGAAGTTTGAATTTTGACAAAATACGTAAAAATCACAAAAATTCACAAATTACTTTAAGCTAGAAATTCATAAAAAATGTTCTTTTTAAATCTTAGATTTGAAAGTTTAATACAACATTGCTTACAAGTTTTTCAATCTTTATCAAAAAAAAAAAAATACTTGAAATTTTCACCGAATGTTTATATAGGCACTTTATATATTTTATAAAATTTTCAAAATATTTTTATTTGTTTTGAGCTGTTTACTGACATTTTAATTTTTCAACTTTTTTAGTTTTTTTTTCTATGAATATCGATAAAAATGTATTTGTTGTGTAGAAAAGCTTAAAAATTTAATACAAGACTTTTAACACATTTTAACAATAGAAGTTGGTAAATATTAAAAATACACAGGTATGATTTTTTTTTTATAAGAATTTAAAGTTGCAATTTTGACTAAATACGTATAAATTACGGCAATGTTCAAATTATCTTAGATAGAAATTCATAAAAGTTTTTTTTTTAAATCTTAGATTTGAAAATTTAATACAAGTCTCCTAACATAATTTTATAATAGCAGTTGAGAAATAAAAGAAATATATAGTCACAATTCTTTTTTATAAGCATTCAAAGTTTGAATTTTGACAACATACGTAAAAGTCAAGAAAATTTGCAAATTATTTTATGCTCATAAGAAATTTTCTTTTTAATTCTTAGATTAAAAAAATTTTAATAATCTATAATAAATCCTAGACAGACAAAGCGTCTCTACTCAGAATTGTTTTTCGTATACAATGATATGATATTATTGCCCATTGGATTCCTAACCTACTGTACAACAGAGCGACATTCACGACTTACCCGCTTTTTTTAAAGCTTATTTTAAATTCGGCTATTAATTCTGATCAGCTAGAAATAATATTTTAAAGCATAATATTATACTGTCATGAAATTTAATTTCTGGAAGACTTATAAACATCCATATTAATAAATTATTTAAGCATTATATACATTTATCAGGCGTTAACCATTGTTTACGATTTTTAGCGAACACCACATTATCCATGTACCATACCACGTACACAAGGTTCCAGTTTACATCAAAGAACCCGTATACATTCATAAGCCTGTCTACATATACAAGACCGTCGATCATTACGATCATCACTACCACCACGATGACCACAGTTATGGCCACGATGATCATTATGGCAGCCATTATTGATAAGACTAATAATAATTAATTTTAAAAGTTTTAGATTTTTAATATTCAAGACCAATTTAATTTTGTAATATTATTATAATAGGTCATGAACCGTAAACTTAAAGCTACTTTTTTACCATGTAAAATAATGCCTGTTTTTATTATTTCTTTCAATTTACCTCATTGTTTTGTTTAATTTAATCAATGTAGTTTTTAAATTGTTATTTTTTTTCTGCTCCTCGTAAATTGTTTTAGTTTGATTCTAAGATATTGCGCGTGTTTTATTAAAATTTAGTATATTTAAAAAAATGTTGAACTGCCTTCTAAACGATTGCCTTTTACATTATATGTATGAACTTTATGAAATACTATATTATTATTTTACAAACTATATCTACATTTGTTGAATATTATTGTTTAAACACCGAATGCTTGAACCACTTCATTTCAGATCACTATAATTTCATGGCTGGATATTTTTTGATAGATAAATAATTATATATTTGAAAACATTGATAAGTAAGTATCATATTAAAAACAGGGTACTTCATCCGCTCTATGGTCGATTTCGATTGTATATCGTTATTATTTCAGTCTGTAACAGATATTTTTAAATAATGTTGATGCTCGCTACTGCAGCTGCTCATTTTTTGCTATTCTTTTGTATATAATCTTTGCCAATTGCCATTGAGGACTTGAAGTGACATATTAAATCAGTGGATTCTTAATGTCATTCGGTGTTTATTTTATACCCTAATCGGCCTAATCAATCTGTATAATAGTAGTCCACAATTAGAATTAACTCAATTAAACTGTTGATCCATATCTAAAACTTAAATTAGACCAAGAACTCCTTTTTCGTATCTATTTATTATACTGATTTTTGTACATGTAAAAGTTTATATTGGTAATTTAAGTATCACAGCTCAGTTTGGTTCCCAATGTCGGGGTTTGCGCACGTTAATTCATTAGCATACTCCTCGACGCTCTCTCTCTTATCTAATCGTTATCCTCCTTTAAGGCTTCGTTCATAATTCTCAATGATCAAGTATTATGTCACCTCAACCTATCGTGGTTTCTTCCAAAAATACGAACAACTCAAACAAGAGATATCTTTCTAAATCTTCTCTCTTGCTAAATGTAGAAGACAAGAAAACAAAGTTATTCATCAGTCCAAATCACTTTTATGTTCTCGCTAACCGTAATGACGACGACGAGAATCCATCAGGTTTCAACGTCCAAATCCTCAACAGCGACGACAAATCAAACAAATCACCACCTGTTTACATAAAAAATGCGGGAAATATCTCTACCTTCATCTCCAGCCATGTGACTAAACTCAACTCTACAGATTTTATCTGAAAATCCACGTCCTCCTATTTTATCATCCACACGAATTTCGTAGTGCAATACTATTTGTGGTCAACACATTTAGAGGAGAATGATTTCAGTTATATCACTCTTATTAGCCTGTCGTTTATCGCTCGCTACGAAGTAATACTTAGGTAGTTAGATTAGATATATAATTACTAAGTATAATATAACAATATCATATTGAAAAATTGTACGAAACAAAATTATGAATATTTGTGGAAATATTATTCGTAATTATAATATAATATAATCAATAGTTGTTACAATAATGTAACACATAGTCTTATTTAATAAATTACAATATTATATTATTGTTTTTATATTGAACTTTTTACATTCACATTAAAAATAGCATATATATTTACTATTTACATATTATCTTCATCAGTCTTCAGTTGAATCTATTGAAGGATGTACATTAACAACAACTTTAAACATATATTTTATGTATTACCTATATATTTTAATACGAACACAACATGCTGTATCAAAGAAAACACCATCACCAAATAAACATATTCCTCCACACCAACATTTGGAAAACACAATCGTACAACAACAAAAAAACTACCTATGTGACAAGTGATACCTACGCCAACGTATATAGAAACATAATAATAATATGTAGTTGGTGTGGTTTTCAAGACGCTAACGTCACGCGTCGGTGCAATACAGCAACCACAACCCATGCTTGAGACGGTGCATTTGGCAAAAATAAATACTGGTATGATGTGCTTAGAATCATCATTATAGTTCGATCATCTCAGTCCGTTTACCACGCTTCTGCCAATCCATTCTCAATCGTGTCTCTCAAAACGATATTGCATTAATAGTGCCGGGGATGGCAAGCTTGTGGCACACGTCTTATAAAAAAAAAACTAATATTAATATTTATTAACAATAAAATACGATAAAATTAGAAAATGTATTTATAGACATTTCGGCTTTTGATATCATCGTATTCATCTATGTGTCTCGTGGACGTTATTCATGCTTGCCACTCCTGAAATAGTGTATTAGTGTCACCTAGCACCCCAACTCACATTCCAACGTCTAAAAGATTAATTAACATAATTGGGAACCAATTATATACAGATTAATGGCGTATACAATATACACCGATTGACAGAGAGAATACGATGATTTAATATTTGAGTGCGTAAACTCAACGGCGAAAACTACATAAACGAAAGAGTAACCAAAATGAGCTGCTACAAATAGGGGTCATTAAAATTATTTATAAACTTCTGCTGCAATAATATCGAAGTAAGTACACTTGAAATTGACTATAGAGCAGAGCGAGCCACTTAGATTTTTTTTACATGATATTTGTATATTATTTTCAAATATATTATATGTATATAGGTATGGTATACCATATACATGAAACATCCAGATATGAGATGATAGTGACCTGAAACGAGTGCCTCTTGGTTCTTGTAGTATTCGGTGTTGATACAATAATATTAAACAAAATGTATAATTTGTGAAATAATAGAATAGTATGTTATTAAATTTGTACTTAATGGCTAATATGAGTGGAATCATTTAGTAATTTAGGGACAAGACATAAACACATAAAATTACTATATTTTAAAATATTTTGATTTTAATAAAACATAATATACAATAATCAAATAAAAACAATTAATGGTTTTCACGAAGAGGAGAAAAAACAACAATTGAAAATTTTCGCTGAACAAACTTTACAAAACAACAAGGAAGTTTGAAAAAAATTATACCAATAGGTATTATTTTACACGGTAAAAAGGAGCTTTAATAGCTAACGGTTCATGACTTATCATAATAATATTACAAAAATAAATTGGTCTTGAATTTACAAACATCTGTAACTTTTTAAAGTCATCATTATCAGTCTTATCAATAATGGCTGTCATAATGATCATCATGACTATAGTGGTCATCAAGGCTATAGTGGTCATCGTGGCTGTAATGGTCATCATGGTGGTCATCGTGATGATGATCGACGGTCTTGTATATGTAGACTGGCTTCTCAATGTATACGGGTTCTTTGATGTAAACTGGAACCTTGTGTACATGGTATGGCACATGGATAACGTGGTGTTCGCTAAAAATCGTAAATTATGGTTAACGCTTGATAAAATAAATGTTTATAAAACGCTTAATAATTTATTATTGAACTAGGCGTTAAAGTTTAAAGGGATTTAAATTTCAGTACAGACTACTATTATATTTAATAATATGGCTCCGAGGCATTCAAGAATAATAATCAAATTTAAAACAAGCATTATACCTGCTCTGTTCCAAATAAAATTACTTGCGTTCGTGCACGCGGTGGGTAGGCGACGGGCGTGGCTGACAACCCGCACATCAGTTAAGTTGTGGTTATTAGGAGACAAATCTACTAGACTATAAACCCAACGCAATTTGGTCGTTTGTGCACAAATCATCATATTTGAAACAAACTATAAGTACACACAGGGTCCCCACAAGGGGGAATCAGATGGACCCATGGTACTGAGGCCCGGCGTTCATGCAAATAATTACTTCAATATATATTAGAAAAATGTTTCAAAATTAATTAAATATTATAAGAAGGGCACGGATTCAGTTCTGTACCAGGGCCAAAAATTTGATGTGGGAGGCCTGAGTACACGCTATATAAAATACGTAGATATTGGTTGCACCAGGCACCTATATAATTTATTACTATACATTTTCATGTGGATTTATAAGATTTATGATTAATAATTGATGATATAACATGTGATTTTTTCCAAATAAAATATAAAACGTTTATTATTTACAAAATCATCGTGATTTTATGGTAAAAGAAAATTTTGGGAATTATAAGAGCACGTCATTATGTTCTCATGAGTTATGAAATCTCTAAAATTTTGCAACTCAATATAATATGTACGATTCCATTTATATTATTTATTAAGATTTTAGCTATTTTCCATAGACACTAAAATAAATCTTAAACAACTACTATAGTTTAACTTAACTTTATAAATAGACATCTACCTAGTTATAACAAAATAAATCAGAAATTTCAGATGCAATATTTGTATTCATAACTACGATTAGAGTTGTTGGTTCAAAGCTTAAATGTTACAAGAACGAAGAAAGGACATAAAAATATATATTTCAGAAAATCCATGTGTATAGTGTATATAATTTACAGAACAAATAATTTATTCTTCTTATATAAAATAATACCTAAAACTATACTTCAATACGAGATTAATTTAAAAAATAAAAAAGATAAATATCATACAATTTAATATTTATCATATTTATGAGTGATGTATACCTACTACACATGTCTATGTAGGTAGGTTAGGTGCCTATACTATGATCATACAAATCTTATTAAAGTAGAATTCATACATATAAATTGGCTATTTAAAAATACATAATGCGTTAAAAATTCGTTTACTCGTTTTTTTATTATATATTTAAATGTATGATAAAAACTTTTAAGTTAAAAGTTACAAACATTAAACGTTCATGTACCATTATTCTTGTAAATATTTGCATATTACACACAGCGAAATCCATAAATATTGCTTGTATTTTAAAAATAATGTATAATCAAAAGAAATATGATGTGTATTTTACTTACTTTTTGGAGTGACCAAAGAACAGTGGAGAAGCAGCAGCCACCGAGAGAATAGTTAAAAGAATAGCAACCTTAAACAATTATAATAAAAGCACGTTTAACTATAAGGGAAATAATTTTAGTTTATTCTTTTTTAAGTTATTTTTAACTATATATTATGATACACAATAATTTAAGTTACATAAATATATATAATATCATATATGCGGTTTTACTTAAAATAAAAATATTGTACGCGTAAAGATATTTTACCTACTTACCTACCAAACTACCAAATCATCAAAATTTAAAATCTAATACATTAAGATAATTATTTAGACTGTAAATTGGCTAACTTTATTTTGCCAATAAATGATAATTCATGATTAATTTTAATCAATATAGTTTATAGCAATTCATAATATTCTGCTTAAATTTTGCATTGTAGGATGCACGGAGCGTGACAAGTGTGGTGCTTTTGTCTCTGATGATGGTCATATACACACGTCACATACGTTTGTATTGCTACCATATCCTCAATTATTTCTCTTCAAAGAACATTTATGACTTTATAATCTATAGTAGAGTGCGAAATTTGTTCATAATAGAATTAACAAAGTCGAATAGACGTCAAGAAAGCGCTGAACCATAATCGAAGCTGAAGAATATCGGTGAAAACCGGCTGTCTTGATCAAACCAAATCCAATGACAAAAATAGGTACAGTTTTCATTACATTAACATTTACAATGTTTAATAATACCATATTATGTTTTAAATATTAAATTAAAGTAGACTAATAGCATTTGTAGTTAGTCTTTATACTGCCAAATAAAAAAAAAAAAACGAAAATAATATTTATTTCAATGATCACGAAAAAAACAAAATCGATGCAGATAATATATACTCACTGTGGCTTTCATTTTGTGGCTGGTTGTGGTGTCACGTAGATATATTTATATTTAATATTATAGACGCGATTGAACGCTCTCGTTCAAAATTACTGCACAAGTTGTCATATTTTAATCGCACGCATTTTTATATAGGTAGTCAGTGGTACATCTAACTTACCCTACCCTTATTATATTATGTATCCTGCTCGAACGGACTAGGACAGGTCTGGATTACTATTATTGTTTATTTTATGAGGAACGCACATATTGCCCTAAAGGGTTGACCTGTGCAGTGTGGAAATGCAGTAGATAATATAATAATATAACGCTCGCATTCTTGTTATGCAACTACTCGCTAAGTACTTCGGTGTTTCCCTTTCTGTCGGAGAACGCGGACATGGGTATACCGTAATGGTCAATAGATAGGTATATATAATATTATGTTTTATGGATACTTAGGTATATTATTACTTATTACGTCCGATACAGTTGTATAATAGTTGTACGCCGGCGAAACTGGTTTGTTTTTTGCTGAAATGTAAAGTTAATRCACACATATCATTATATGTTGGTGTGTATGTCGTAGGCAGAGTCGTGCCAATAGTGCCTATAGGGGTTGTGATGGAGTATACTAACCAGGCGTCATGATCTGCACTAGGTGGGGTACCAAAACACATAAAAATAGGTAATTTTAAATTAAACATTTAAATTTGTATCTTTAAAATTAATAATAATATTACTATTCATCAAATTATCCGATTAAACAGTAAAGTACGATGATTATGACGAATAAGATGTGCACCTCTCATCGTAGTTAAGTATGCCATATTGTCATAGGATATTTAGCTAAAAAAGTTTGTGAACTATTGTGTTATTAAACTTTTTCATAATTTTTAGAACGTTTATAAATTTATAATTACTCATGCGTATTACATTACGTTATTCTCTATTGATGATAATTGGGTGTGTTTTATAACATCTTGCATTTCCTGTTTGTATTATTATTATTAGTAGTAGTAGTAGTAGTAGTAGTATTACTAATATTACTATTCACGGTTGCAATGATTCTATAATAATTATATTATATTATATATTATACATGTGATTACATACGGACATACGTCACGTGACCTAAAAACGTATTGCAATTATTGTATGTATAATATATTATAGTTGTATGCATGTATCTGTAAAGTTTTTACTCTTTTAGCTTTATAATCGAGTGCATCGATGATATGTTCAGATCTGGCATCAGCACGTTAAAAGACTTGTTAAAAACTATTGAACTAGAATTTAAAACATCATTATTTAATAATTGTACTAGACACAATATTGCGAGAAAATTATTTTTAAAAAAAAAACGAAAACTTGCTCTACTTATAGTACCTATGTGGGCCTTACCCAGTGGGTTGAACAAAATTTTTCAAAATCTCATCACATAGGTACTTATCATACATAATAAATTGTTGATATTACATAATTTTAGTTATTTATTAGAATATTACTATATAGCCACATATTATATAATTATATACATTTATAATAAATAAATACAAAATATGTTGTATTTATACTATGCCAAATTACCAAGTTAGTAGTTAGCTGCAAGCTGCTTAACCTTAACGTTTTTAACAAATACTATGGATAAGAATACAGGACAGGCGGACAGCTTGATTAAAAACCACGACGCATTTTATCCTACAGAAAACGTAGGACCAGGGGCGTAACTAGCAGTAAATGTTTGGGGTAGCGAATACTTTTATATGCTTCATCTTCTCCAATAAGCATAATGGGTGAGTACCACTTATACGCATAACTTATTCCTCCTAAATTATTTTAAAATAATCATTATACTTATACAGTTTTATAACACGAAAATTCACAAATAACGTATTTTTTTCTTGATAACTATTTAAAGATAAATAAATAGTAAATACACACTGACACTGATTTTWTTTATTAAATTATATAAATAATTTTGGGGTAGCAAAATGATACTCTTGCTAACTCATAAAAATGTTTGGGGTTACGACCACTACCCCTCGCTACCCCATAGTTACGCCACTGCGTAGGACTGCCTACTTAAAACATTTTACGGCCTTGAATCTAGGGTTGCCAACCGGACGGTATTTTCCCGGCCCGGCCGGTAATTCACATCCRTAGACTTAAAAAGCCGGTTGCCAGTATTAACCAATAAAAAGCCGGTATTTTCAAAATAATAATTTTAAAATTATCTGAACGAGAGTTTCGATATATATAT